TTGATGATCATTCTGAAAAAGTTAGGTTAGAAATTAGGTCCAGAGAAATTCTCTCTGGTCTTTGAGAGTTAGATTAAGTTCTTTATATGGTTGGAATCGTGTTGAAAAATGCTATAACTTTTGTGTTATGAGTTTTTGCATTAGAGCACTGAAACAGGAGATACGAAGTTGTACACAGGGCGCTCGTTTTTTTCTGATTCAAAGGTTGAAGAGGAAGCTGGAACTGGGCTGGGCCTTTGTTTCTCACTTTTGGCGCCCCCCAGCTTGCTGATTGCACCCCCTGGCCCATTTCTTTATTTTTTATATTTTTCTATTTCATTTATATTTCTGATTTTATTTTATTTTTTCTAAACATAAAAAATTACCAAAAAGATTTTCATAAATTTTCACATTTTATTTTGTATTTTTTTATTATTTTTCTAACATAAAAATAATTATTAAATAACATACTTTTATTTTCTTTAATAAAAACTTGAAAATAATACATAAAAATATTATATTTTTATTTTTATTATTTACATACTTAAATAATATTTTTTCTAATATATTTTTATTTTTTGACATTTGTATATATTTTATTTTATTTTATTGTACATAGATAATATAATTAATATATATATATATATATATATATATATATATATATATATATATATATATATATATATATATATATATATATATATATATATATATATATATATATATACTTTCTAAAAATAAATTAGGGTTTTACCCTTAACAAAAATAACCTTTTATTTTCTTTTTTTAATACATAAAAAATTATATTTTTACATACATAAAAATAATACAAAAAAACATTTTTTGCATGTTTATAATATATTGTATATTTATTTAATTGTTCATTTAAATATTTGTCTATTTATTTATTTGCACAATTAATTCAATTTGGATGTAATAGTTAATCTTAGGGTTTTATTTTCTTGCAAATACTTCCCATTCAAAATTGTATCCCCCCTCCCCATATCAATGTTGTAATAGTCATAGATTTATTTTACGCATTTATAGCTTTCAAATATGCCATGATAGAGATTAGGGTTTGTATGCAATATCCAAAATCAAAACAATTAGCTAGACCTAATACAAGACCTAAATGCATGAAAATGACAACACAATGCACACGTGCACCCCTAGGGTTTCATCCACTTGTTGCCTTTAAAATGGCCATGGTATGCATGTTGAGTATCTTGGCAAAACAAAAACAAAACAAAAGATCATAGTCCCTCGATGACGCTATCTTGGTTGCCTATACAAAATGATCTAGTCCCTCAAAAATTTGCTAAATATACTTAGCACAATTGCTATCATGGTCAATACGATGACCCGCGTCTGTCCCATTTAACATCCAAATACAAGGTTCTTTACCAAATGCAATGGTAAAACAACAATGTAAAAGGGTTAAAAATATGTAGGAAAGATCTTTGAGTAGATAGGGTAGACAACTCTTAGTTACTTGATCAAAACTTGCAAAAACATCATTGTTATTTTCAAACACACCTCACAACACAATTTCAAAACATTTCCCAAAACAAACAGACAAACACCTTTGTATACATTAAAACAAGAATCATTACAAAGGTTGCCACAACGATGACCTCTTTTCAAAACATTTTCAAAAACCACACACAAAACACCATTTCAAACAATTGAAAAGCAAAAGCAAGTGATCTAAACAAGTAAATAAGAGCCCATGGATAACCATGGATGAAAAGGGTTCTAGCACATTCCCTTTTCATAATCCACCCCCCGAACCCAAGAAAACATCTCAAATGTCTTTCCTGTGCTTTTTGACCTTTCCTTTGGATAAAATAAAAAGTCGGCGATGACTCTTGCTAAACTGAAACATTTGCGAACACAAACGCAAAACCTCAAGTCAGTTCTCCCACCGTATCACACTCTTCATAACTACCATGGTTTTTATATTGTTGACAATATCAAACTGAGGGGTTTTATCATCAAAAATCAACTCATTTCTATTTTGTCAAATGTGAGATATAGTTTCAGCAACCATCATCTGAGCATAATTCTTTTCAAACCCTTTTTTGACGTTTCTAAAGTTATTCTGACTATCTCTTCCATCCAGCTTCTGCTATCTCTTTTGTAACCCATCCACTGAAAGAGTTGCTGTCAGATATTCTTAGTATACATGCAATCAAAAAATAAATGGTTCATAGATTCTTTTTTATCATAGTAAATGTACTTCCCATAAGTTTTGATTCCAATTTTCTCAATTCTATCTTTTGTTGGTATTCTCCTAAGAATTGTCAACCAAAGAGTAAAATAAACACGTGACCTAGCATAATTCTGGTAGAAAACTCTCCTCCAGTTCACTAGGATGTAGTCACCTCTGATTTCAATGTACATATCCATTGTTCTGAATTTTTTCAGAGCCACAATTTTATTCCAATAGTCACTGTTCACAATCAGAGTTTTACTCTTCATAATATCTTCTCCTTTCATACAGTACGCATCAATCCATCGAATCCAGAGCTTGTAAGCTTTCAGATGAAGATTCCACGACATTTTCAAAACTGTGGCTTTGTTCCAATCTAGAAGATATTTAATGTTTAGGCCTCCAACATTTTTGGTTTCACAAACCTTTTCCCAAGCTACTAAAGCCTTCCTGCCAGTTGCTTTGCCAGACCAAAGGAAATTCATGCAAATAATATCATTTTTTCTGATGACTTCTTTTGGCATTAGAAACACTTGCATGCAATAACCAGAGATACTCATCAAAACATTTTTCACTAAGGGAGTCACATACTTTAGCTCACTCCCGTTAGCTGGTAGTTTATTCCCTTTGATGACATCCACCCATAGTTGTGGTGTCTTTCCTTCAAATTTTTCATTTCCATTAGTCGATTCCTCAATTATCGTTTCTAGTATTTGTGCCTCTTTTCCAATTTTGTTCCTAGATGTGCCAAAATTCCCTGTGTGCCCTTTCCCACCTGAATTCGAATCGGACGAGAAAACCCCAACACTCGCCGCTGGAGTCATTGTCGCCTTCTTCTTCGGTCGACCACACGCCATCTAAAATTCAAGTGATTGCTCACAAAAACCCTAAATCCCCTTTGTCGTGGTCCCTAACCCTAGGGTTATGAGTTTAAACCATCGCCAAAAGTTCTTAGTGTTAATATAGCAATCACCACCGTACATAGAGTCGTTGATATCACTGTCTCGCAGGATTTTCTTTCGCTGAAAATCGTCACAAGTCGCCGGAAATCACCTCTCAAAAAATCATTAACTTTTTTAATTTTATACTTAGTAAACACACCATTTCGTAATGAGAAAATGGATGATGTGACAGTGTAAAAAGTTTTACACTATCAACTAATCACGTCTATGTATTCAGTTAAGTCAGACTTTCATTTAAAAAAAATTATATGATATGACAAAATGATATGTTTCTATTGGATGACAATGTAAAACTTTTTTACGCTGTCGGTGCATCTTTTTTAAACTCTTTTGTAATTAAGTAAAATATTCAAAAATAATTTGGATCAAAAGAACCAATTTTTAGTTTGTCTAGTGATGATCAACGTTGAATTTGATAGAGATGATAACAATTTGATTCTATACGACTAAAATAATTTGATATTAAAATTAATTCCGAATCAGACTATACCCGTGATAATTAAAAAAAAAAAAGATGTCATTGTCGTTTTAATGAAAGTTAAGGGAGGTAAATATAATTTTTTTGATTTAATTAATATGACCAAAAAAAATAATAGTGGTGTAGCGTTGATCTCTGGAACAAGGCGTGTTCGCTCTGCACGTGGTGTAGGTAGTTAGTGCCGTGATCGTGAATTTGGAAGAAAAGGGACAGAGCGCGGAAGGAGAGAGCGTGAGAGTGAGAGAAGGAGCGAGCATGGCCGATCTATTTGGATGGCTCGTCTCCTTCTTCCTCCTCGTCGCCTTACTCGTCCTCATCACTTACCAGGTTCCTGCTTAATTAATTTCATACTATATTCAAACATGTTCCGATTTAGGGTTTGCAATTAATCTAATTTCAAATTTTCTGACAATTTTTTGCAGCTAATGTGCCTCGCAGACCTAGAATTTGATTATATAAATCCTTACGACTTCGCGTCGCGAATTAATTCTGTGGTTTTGGTTGAATTTGTTCTTCAAGGTGTCCTTTGCTGTTTCTACCTTGTTACTGGCCATTGGTTTATGTCATTGTTATGCGTTCCTTATCTGTACTTCAATATCAGATCGTAAGTTTTCATTTCCAATTCTTAAAATGCATAGGTTATTATACTAAAGTCTGTTGTTTGACAAATCTTAATGGCAGGATTCTTTGATAATTTGTGTTTGGGATGTTTAGCATTGTTGATGGTGCATGTGTCAAGTCAAATTTGATAGGAGTAGACCATGTTTTGCTTTTGGATTTTTGATTGAGTTGTAGTTAGGTTAGATTTCCTTTACTGGTTTAGCAGATTGTTTTCACTGTCTTTGGATAAAATGGCGAGTGTGGGAGGAGTTGAGAGGTTGGTAGAATGAAGGTGGGAGTGAGTGTTAAGGTGGAGAAGAGTGTTGTTCCAATGGGGGGTAGAATTGGACAATTGGCGCAACAACTGTTGTAGAAGGGGTAGTTTTTTGAATGGGGGAGAGACAAAATGGTATGGAAGGAGAAAAAATTGGGGGTCTGTTCAGTAAAATCGGCTTTCAAGAGTTTGATGAGAAAGAGTTTTGATAGAGCGGAACAGTTTAACAATTTGGTTTGGTATATTTAATATCTGTTAAGGTATAAGAATTGTTCACTTGGCAAATTATTCAAAAGAGAATTCCTATTAAAGATAGATAACCTCCTTAGTCGTGAGATTATTTGAAGTGATGCGCAATTGTGTAATGCATTGAAACAGGGAGCCGCTTATTCTTTGAATACCCGTTATTTTCATTGGTTTGGTGTTCGATTGTGAAATGGTTGGGGTGTCTATGGCTCCACATAACGGAGGTAGTCAACGTCTGCAATTTTTATGGTTTTGATCTTCACAAAGTTAAAATTCCGAACAGTTTGGTTTTCATGTATCTGGACCATTTGGAAAGCTAGAAACAAGCACATTTGTCAAGGAAGGGGAGTTTTGGTAGAAGATATGGTTGAACAATCAAAATTGACTTATTGGAAATGGCTAATTGCAAAATTGCCTAATTTTGGGTTATTATATTGCTCAATGGTTTTTAAATCCTTTGGAATGTTTGGGTTTATCTTGGTGAATGCTGTGCAGATTTTGTTACTGAATTTGACAGGATTGTCTAGTTTGAGTTTATTGGTGGGCGAGCGCGAATCCAGTTTTATTGATCATGGTTGGTTTGAAAAGGGATAGTGTGCGGGTATTGGTAATGCAGTTTTTTCCTCTGAGATACTGTTTGGTTGCTGATGTTTAATAAGGCCAAATTTTTGTGATAGCAACTGAAATTGGGTAATGGTTATGCGTTCTTGCTGAGGGTGGTTTGAAGAAGGCTGCGACAAAGGTGAAAATACCTTGTGGGGTCAGGTTGTGCTTCATCAAGATTGTATTCTAGATTTTGGAATTCATGTTGGCGGCTCTTGAAGTGGTAGCAGTACCCGTTACTAATGTGGCCGATGATGCGTGTGTACCTAGTCTTATTGGTGGAGGCATAAAGCTGTTAGCGGAGTTGCAGTTTCCGCATCTTCTGTTGGAAGTATTCAACTGTTTTTGTTGGTTTATTAGCATAAGCCCTTGGGTTGGGTGTTGGTTTTTGCGTAAGGTTTGGTTAGTTTTGTATGTTTCTTTGGTGATTTGAGTCAGTTTTTTTGTGGCTTTAAGACTTTGTGGTTCTTTGTGCTTAATCTTGACAAACCATGTGTGCTTGGATTGATGCATTTTAATTGAGTTGTTAGTTAGGTTACATTTCTTTTACTGGTTTAGCAGAACGTTTTCACTGTCTTTGGATAAAATGGCGAGTGTGGGGGGAGTTGAGAGGTCGGTAGATGGAAGGTGGGAGTGAGTGTTAAGGTGGAGACGAGTGTTGTTCCAATGGGGGGTAGAATTGGACAATTGGCGCCACAACGGTTGTAGAAGGGGTAGTTTTTCGAGCGGGGAGAGACAAAAATGTATGGAAGGAGAAAAAAGTGGGGTTCTGTTCAGTAAAATCGGCTTTCAAGAGTTTGATGAGAAAGAGTTTTGATAGAGGGGAATATTTTAACAATATCCGGTATAGCGCCAATATACCGGTATTGCATATTGGAATTTTGGCTATCCAATACAAAAGCCGGTACTGCATTTCGACTCCTCTATGCTCAAAATAGCGGCGCTTTTTATGGTATACCGATATAGCGGCTATTGTAGTGATATCGGAATTGGTTAATGTTGGAGATTTTTTTTAGCAGTGAACCAATATTATTATTACTATTATTTTTTATATTAAGTGGTGGACCCATATTAAAAAGCATTTAAAAATAGAATGTGAAGAGATGAAGTGCCGAGGAGTTGGTGTGGCTAATATATAATTACTATTACCTAAACCCACTACCTAGGTAAACAATCACGCAAGTCTCTTAATCCATGTGCTCCATCACCTTCACTTCGTGTTCGTTCATTCTTCTCCTTCACTTTGTTGCTCTTCCTTCATCTTTTATCACTAGATAGACTTAGAAGCTACTGTTGAAAGCTATGAGTTTCTGTTTTTCCAAATCCAAAACAGAAGAGGAATGACGCCGTGTTTTCGACCAGTTTCCGCACTAGAATTTTCTCATTTTCTCACTTCCTCTTTTTAAAAATATTGGATGAATGTTTTAGGGTTAAGAAACTTTTCATTAATATGGATTGGACTCATTAGACCCAAAAATTTAGACTAGCCCAAACAGACCTTGTCTTCCCTGTACCACATCCATTTAGGCCATTAACTTTTACTATTATTATTTTGTGAAGCCTTGGATCTCTTGCTCCATAAAATCAATTCTGATTCTGTAACCTAGTCAGTGGTGTTGTGCTTTATTTTTGTGTCAAACCCAAGGTTTCTAATATATGGCTCTGAATTTTCTCCATATCATATTAAATGGTTGAAAAATATTGGATGAATGTTTTAGGGTTAAGAAACTTTTCATTAATATGGATTGGACTCATTAGACCCAAAAAATTAGACTAGCCCAAACAGACCTTGTCTTCCCTGTACCACATCCATTTAGGTCATTTACTTTTACTATTATTATTTTGTGCAGCCTTGGATCTCTTGCTCCATAAAATCAATTCTGATTCTGTAACCTAGTCGGTGGTGTTGTGCTTTATTTTTGTGTCAAACCCAAGGTTTCTAATATATGGCTCTGAATTTTCTCCATATCATATTAAATGGTTGAAAAATTCCGTGTTTCACATGGAAATCACCCATTCCACGTGCCAGTGAACTCACATTTGGCGGTTTTGTCGGTTCCGGTGATTCCGGCTGTTGTTTTGACGGCTCCAGTTCGACCAAACAAGATGACGCTCCACCCTTCAACTCTGACATGTCTGGATCAATTCTGCCCTTGATTCAACCTCAATTACTCACACCATATCCATTAAAACGTCTACCAAATAACCCATAAATTTGCACAAATCTGCTTTGCTCTCTTTCACTGTATCCATAATCACAGCATTCACGAGAACATTTTCTGCCCATTTTTCTATTTTTTGCCCACCTTTCTTTTCTGCATCATCAATTTTTTGCTCACCTTTCTTTTCTGCTATCGTCGTAGGAATTGAATTTCCTTGGTTAATGTCTTGGTGTTGACCATCCATTGAACCTTCAACAGTTAACGACTGATTCAACTTCAAGGTCCTCTTCTTTGTCAAAAGATATAGGCAATATGTCCCGATATTCCGAGCTTGAAACGCCAACTAACTCGTTGATGGTGCCGATTCCATCAGTGTGATCATTGGCGAACACAACATGTGAGTAACTTCAATGCCTCTGGTGTTTCCCTCTTTTCGAAATATTCCTCAATGCATCTTCTTCATGAAATACTCAGAAACTTCATTTCAGGCAGTGTACCACAAATCCAATAAACGTGCTCTAATACCAGTTAACAGTGGTTTATTATTGGATATTCTTTGGGGAAAGGTTCCCAAATCCGAGATAGAACATACAATCACACCCTTGAGCAGAATTGAAAAGTTACAAGTGTAGAAGACACGGTTCCTACCAAGTTTTGAGAGTTTGTTTCTTTCCCCTTCCTAAATGGTAAAGTTGGGTCTCTCCAACTAACCACTCAATATAAACTCTCTCCTATCTTTCTCTATTTATTCTAAACATAAACTCTCCCCTATGTATTTTCTTTTAGATATATTAGCATTTTGTTTAGTTTTTCCACTTTTGGTTTAGTCTGGGTTACACACTATATTTGTGGTTTGGTCAACTGTATGGAACATCTACTCAATCCAAAGAATGTAAAAGAATGCACTTATACAGTGTTATTATTATGTTTATTGCCACAACCTGATACCTATTACAAAGTTTGGGATTAGCTTTTCATCAATATAGTCAAATTGCTGTTCTTTATATCTCTTGTAACTGCCCTATGACATATGTTCCTGTGTGTCACTAGTTATCCCTTGCTTACCAGTTATCGAATTTAGGAAAATGAATCGTTTTTGAATCATGTTTTTGGTCTTGCTGCTGCAACTATGATGCTTGATATCTTAATGTACTGAATTATGCTTAAAATGGTCATACTAATTGCATATTCTGTTCATGTGATCAGGTATAGACAAAAAAAGCATTTAATTGATGTTACAGAGATATTCAGCATGCTCTCATGGGAAAAGAAGCAACGACTCGTGAAACTCTTCTATCTTGTTATAACCCTTTTCCTCTCTGTATTTTGGTATGAGAAGACCAAATTATCTGTTAATGTTATGAATTTTATTAAAATATATGCTTTTATTCTTAAACGTTTGTTTTGTTGTAGGCTGATCTATACAACATTGGATGAGCATGATGCGTAATTGCAGTGGATACTTGTTTTGTGGAGTGCTTTCTGAAAGTGAGCTCCACAGTTAATTTCCAGATGTCGGTGGTTGGGTGCATTTTTGTTGACACTAACTGTATTTTGTCAGTTAGATATCTTTATATTGGGCTAGCATTTTATGCTTATCTTATTCATGATATTATGTATATGGGTAAGGAGCTAAAGGCATCAAAAGGAAAGTGCTGGTGGCTGATGAGGGGTTTGGGTTATTTGCATAGTGTTGTTGGTCCATACGTGGATATGTACCAAAAAGATTATGTATTTATTCATAATGAGTTGTTTACCAAACTTTGTAGTCTGCAGTTTTAACTTTATCAGCAAATCTATGGTTCATTCCTTCAAAGAGGATGTACCATACAACAAAATTCTTGAACTTCTGAAGGGATTGAATAATTTTTTATTAGTGTTTTATGGAGGGAATGAGTATCAAGAAACTTTGTGTTTTGAACGATACAATATCGATAATTCGTAGATAAGCGTGGATATGGGTCTGAAAAGTAATATAATTTTTTAAGTGATATTTATGAGACACGTGATATATATACATCGTAGGTTCATGTTGATATGTATTTTATAAAAGATGAGAAGGTATCAAAACAAGCTACTTCTATTACACTATCATTAATAGCTTAAAAAAACAAGAAATCTCATTACAACATTATCTAGCAAATGCATATGAAATGAAGTCCTATACATGAACTAACATTAAAATGATAATACATTAAAAGTCAGTGGAAATCCACCATTGTTGGAATTGCTTACCAATTATCTCCACGGAAAGGAAGATTTTATTATTACTGTCATTTAGAACTTGAATCTTTTGAACAATTTAAAGTAGCGTATTATATTGTGCATCCTTTTATACATGATTACCAATTTTAGAATTGGAAAAAGTTGCAAGCAATTCTAATGAAAAAGTGTTCGGGTAAGATAAAAATTCTACTGTAAAGTTGGTCACATATCATGAGTAAGTGAAAAAACTACAAGTTACATACCATTAGTAAGACAACTACCAGAACAAAATATCTTATAACAAAAAATTAATATTTGTGTCACACCCACCTTTATATATTCATTCTCTATCTAAGTATTGAATTAGGGTTGTTTGAGGCGAAGGATTGCATAGCAAGTTTCAATTGAGAGTAAAATTTTGTAATAGAATGTAGAATCCAACCAACAGTAGAGTACGTTATAAGAGAAAAGTTATTACAACAAAATTAATGTACGATAACATAACCAACAACTCAAACTAACAAATAAATAAAAAATAACATATCAATTTGTAAGTAGCATATTAAAAAATAACATAGCAATTTGTAATTAGCATATTCCATACGTCATAAATTAACATTAATCCATAAATTCAGAAGTAGTCCTATTATACCTAAAATAAATAACAAGATCATTTAAACATATAGGTTGCAGACTGAATTGCTACACCAGGTCACCTAAAAAGGTGATACCAAACTCTCTAACATAAAAATGTGATCTCACTTTAAGACCATGAATATTGCTTTGCATTTTAAGAATAGTAAAAATATTATTTATAGAATCATAGACAACCAAACCGCGGTTCTCCATCTTATAGAACTCCACCAACAACTGATCATTCTCGGAAATATATAATATCTTCGAATAACCGTCGTAAAGACCACATTCTTTTATGAGAGGAACACTTAACAATTTAATCCAAGATTTTTCATTCCCATATTCCTTCATGATCCAGACATTAGAAAATTTAGAATTTTCGAATCTATTAGAAAGGATGGACAAACAACCCCTCAATATCCCCAAGGTCATGGGAATTTCTAAATGGATACCGGAAAAAGGGAGTGAAAGCTTTTGATACGACTCCTTCTCTAAATCAAGAGAAACAATAAGTTTAGGTAAATAAGGATCATATGCAAACCAATTTAGAGTATCATCCACAAATATTCCAGGTGTACAAATGAGATGGGAACATGGAAAATCTTGAATTCTTCTCCAATAATCAGTATCCAAAGTGTGAATGTTAACTTGGTTTTTGCTATTACCAAAAGTAACAGCAATAATCTTATAATTACTTGTGATACGATCCTACACTAAGGTATATAAGTTTTGAAAATCGCTTGGTTTTGGTTCGATTGATCGATTTACAAGATTATTTTTCAAATATTATATTTATCTATATTTTCTTTAGTAGAGAAGGCAAAGATAAATATAGAGTAGAGAAGGCAAACATGAGCATGTAAAATTGGAGAATAAAGAGAAAGAAAACTACATCCATGCAACCATAAATCAAACATCACCATGATGTGGTGTGCATTAATCTTAAATAACATATGCTTTTGTTTACACAGGACTTATCACAAACAATTGGTCTGCATGATTCACAAACATTTGGTTTCTTCCCACCTATAAGAAACTATGCCTTGCTTATTGTTCATTGTTTCCAGAAGATTATTCGATTGATGCTGAAAGAATAATTCACCTCTGGACTGCTGTAGGATTTCTCACCATTCCAGAGCAACAGTTTGGTCGAGCTTGTTTCAACGACTTTGTTCCTTTGCTTTTCTATAAAAGTGGAAGAAGAAAACAACCACAACTAGTACTGCGATGGTGTGAGGATCGACATGAACATGAATATGTTGAACCATCTTAGTATTTCTTACGCCAAAATTGAAGCTTCTAGTTCATTTTTTCTACAAACCTTTGACAATCACGTGATTTGGATTTTTTTAAAATTAATTTTAGCTTAGGGAGGTTTATAACCCCCACAATCTATCACTATTTTTTGCAGTCAAACATGATGTTTATTTCAAATGACCTGACGTACAACGTTTTCCGTTAAACCAAATAACGCATGGGTCAAATTTGTGGACGAAATTTTTTTAGGAGTATCACTCTTTAAAGAAATTATTTTTAAGAATTAAAATTGAATGTTGAAATATTTGTGAGGATCTCAGATATATTTAATCTTAAAAAATATTTTGTAATAAGACTTTAAGAAATTTTGTTGAAGAAGAAACTAAGAAAGGTAAATAATATATGAACTCACGAATTTATCTCGAATCAAAGTGAACTTTTAATTAGACTAAACTCAGGAACCGAACTATGGTTTTGACCAAACTAACCACTAAACAATATGATATTTTAAACCTAGCTTATCTCAAACCAAAGTGAGCTTTTAACCATGCTTAACTCACGAACCAAGTTGAGTTTTTGAATCGCACTCAACTCAAATCGAAGTAAGCTTTTACACATATAGAGCTTACAAACCGAACTAGAGACTTAATACTAAATTTCCAAATTAAAATTTTTAAAGGGTTTAGCTTTGAACCAAAACAAACACTCACTTAATGATAAATTATTCCATCAAGATAAAAAAATACTCTTTGGTAAATTTAAAGTAACACTCTTTTCAAAATACAAAATTCCTCAATAAACACAAAGACTTTTTCGAAGCGCTACATCTAAATTTAAGTGAGAGATAGTAAAAAATATTTTAGAGAGAGAGTGAGAAGTGAGATAGAAGGATTAAGTTATTAAATGTGAAAATGTGAAGGAAAATACCTCTATTTATATGCTAGAGGTTGACACAAAAAAGGAGAGATCCATGGGCAAAAATTAATGATCAAATCGATTGGGACCTTAAGAAAATTCATTAGAAGGCCTTAATAATCGTATGTTGGAGCTCAAAATGGAAATAATGGATAAATAGTCGTTTATAGACATCTCTTACACTACCCCAATCGATTGGTTATAAGTTTCAATCGATTGGACAATTCAAAAACTTGTCTAAAACTATTCTGACCGTTTTCGCGATTCATCTGACATGACTTCAATAAATTTTTAGAGACATTTATTCGTTTAACTTTACGAAAAAGCCCTTGTTTTTTACAAAACTCGGTTCACTTAGACGTGACTGGGCGAGCTTTCATACTTTCTCTCTTTTACACTTTGAAACTTCAAGACTTGCCAAATAAATCAGTAAAATAGACACTTGCTTGAATCTTCTTGGAGACGATGCTTGAGATTTCTTTAAGATGAGCACCATCATTAGAGGATGTTTGTAGAGATCACTGAATCATAATTAGTCTATTTGCATCTTTAACCGCTTGTCATACTTGAATTCTCATAGGTTGAAAAGGTTATTATATAAGTTGTAGTGGCGGAGCAAGAAAAACTATAAAGCTGAGGCAAAAATTTAAAGATCACAAATTCATATATTATGATTAGGGAAGGTCCACTTAGTTTCTCAGCTCAGATCAAATACATATTATAAAGTCAACAATCCTCAAGAAAATACATTTGAAATATAATAAATATTGCTTTGTTCATGCCATAATAGTCAATTGATCAACAGAGACTCCATATGATAAATAAAAATACACACATGCCCAATTTTATACTTAGATTTTCTACGACAGTAATAGCAACAGCAGAAGCACGTGCACTTTTCACTGTATTTGCAATCTCCACACGAAGCTTTTCCATCTCCCTAGCCAAGACAATCAATTTCTTCTCCATAACTTGACAATCTTGAACTATTGTCTATTGTGGAAAGAACATATTGAACTATTGTGTCTATTGTGACAAGAGCATAATTGAAATTCTAACATTTAACAACAACAGTTGCATTAGATTCAATAAGTCAACTAGGTTCTGAACTAGTGCATGTTGGAGTCTCTATTTAACTTCCAAGACCTTGGTTAAGTAAGGTTTCACAACCATATCTTCCAACCTGCAAACAGAAAGCAAAATTTCATTGTATTGGCATTTAGAAACCAATCCCCTATCCCCAATACATCTTGCATCTACACTAGTATTAGTTGTCTCATAGTCATTTGTCAATAATTTCAATATCATCAATCACTTCACGTATATTAATGAAGAAATAAGAGTACGTGAATTAAACATAAAACAATGAAATGACAAAACATGTGACTTGAACTAGAGTAAGCAAAAGTAGAATAATTGCTGCAACAAAAGATGTTATCTTCCAAGAAGTGTTGTATGTATAAAGATTGCCTTATATTTATGAGAAGGATCCTCATAGAAGCAATCCAATCTTTTGCATAAGGAAACACAACCACCATCAATATTTTCCTGAATAACATTAAGACAAAGATTGTTAATCATTTTAGCAACTGCATTGCTATCACCCTATGTGTTAATAATTATTCCCTTGTCAACAAGTTTATCAACATCCTGAATACTTCAATTAGAAAATCCAGAGAACTCTGTAATCTGTTACATAAGTCTAAAATGGATAATGACATTGCTCGAATGCAACTAAGTTCCTTAAAAGAGTCTCAGTCTAGTGACAAACCTCGAACCTAGGTATCGTAAGCGCACCCTTTGAGAGTGAAACAAATACCTTCTCTCATGAAATTGTTTCAATTATCATAAATCCAGCAAAGCAAAAACAAGATAAAGGAATCTCGATTCAGAAATTTTACCGAACACTTGGTGGGCATAGCACGAAATGTCAAATTCGACACCAATTTTCCATCAATTCGTCAACCACAACCTGCAACAATAACAAATAACAACACAACAACAATGTTGTAGCGAGAGTTGAACTGAAACAGAAGCAAAAAGAAGAAAGAACTGGCAGAGGCATTTTATCGGTGAGGCTCAAAGGAAGGTGAGACTCAAATACACAAAAAAAATGGAGAAAAAACCTAAGACATAAAGGAAGATGAGGCTCACCGGTGGTTGATTGAACGAAAACCAGAACGACAAGAGTGGAGTCGCGATGTGCGATATGGTGTGGCTAGGGGTGTCAATGGGGCGGGGCGGGGATATATTAGAGGGTAATTTAGTATTTGTAGATAAGTTTTAATTAGGGCCTATGTGGCATCTTTATTTGTGTATAAATAGGTGTACTAGGATTACATTTAAATCAATCAATTCTCCAATCATTTGCCGTCAGCTTTTAGGCATTTATTCCCTTTCATCTTCTTCCTCAAATTCATCACCTTGCACTAACAAATTGGTATCTAGAGCTCTTGGTTTGATTCTGAAACTCTGGGAAACACGAGTGATAGTGAGCTGTGTGTTTGATTTTTGATTCTTGAACAAAAATCTGAAACAGAATCACACTGATTCTGTGGGTTTGGGAAACACTGAGTGAGAATCTGAGATTTGAGTTTTTCTGTGCAAAGGTTTAAGATGAATGGAGGCAGTAGTTTAAACACTAAACTTCCAGTTTTTGATGGTAAAAACTGGAACAGATGGAAGATTCAAATGCGTGTGCTGTTTGGTGCTCAGGATGTTCTGGACCTTGTCTCTGAAGGTTATGTTCCAGCTGCAGCAGATGCTACTGAAGAACAAAAATCAGAAGAAAGAGCTACAAGGAATAGGGATCAGAAAGCACTGTTCTTCATCCATCAGTGTGTGGATGAAAATGTGTTTGAGAAGATTGTTGATTCGACGACGTCGAAAGGGGCATGGGATATACTGACCAGATGTTATGGTGGTGATGTATCAGTAAAGAAGGTAAAACTTCAGTCCCTGCGAAAACAATATGAAAATCTCAGCATGAAGAACAGTGAGAAAGTTTCTGAATACATTTCCAGATTGATTCTGATCACTAATGAAATGAAGGCTTGTGGAGAAACACTTTCTGAACAGGTAATCATAGAAAAGATTCTGAGGTCACTTACGCCTCAGTTTGATTACATTGTTGTTTCTATTGAACATTCTAAAAATCTGGAAACTATGAGAATAGAAGAGTTGCAAAGCAGTCTAGAAGCACAAGAATTGCGTCTGACTGAAAGAACTTCTGAGAGGGAAGTGGAGCAAGCTCTGAAAGCTTCTTTTGTCAAGAAGGACCAGAAGCAGAATAGACATGGTGATAAATTCCAGAAGTCAGAAACCTCAACCTCTGATGAAAAGAAATATCAGAAGGGAAAGGAAAGGTATGACAAGAAGAAGGTTCAATGTTACTGCTGTAAACAGTTTGGGCATTTTGCCAGAGACTGTAGAAACAGAGGAAGGAAATCAGAAGAAGCAAATATAGCCAGAGAAGATTCTGATGATGAACCTGTGCTATTGATGGCTTCTGATTCTGATGGAAACTGTTCAGGAAATTGGTGGTATATGGACACTGGCTGTTCAAACCACTTGACTGGGAACAAACAATGGCTGATAGACTTTGACTCCAGAAGGAGAACAAAGATCAGATGTGCTGATGATAAGTACCTTAATGCAGAAGGTATGGGAAATGTCAGAGTCAGAGTGAAGAATGGAAGAAACATTCTGATCAAAGATGTCTGGTACGTTCCTGGAATTAAAAGCAATCTGATGAGTGTGGGTCAGCTTGTTGAGAAATGTTTTTCAGTGGTTATGAAGGACAACCTCTTGACATTGTACGATTCTAATCAGAAGATGATTATGAAGTCTGAGCAGGGAAGCAACAGAACATTCAAAGTGAATGTAGAAACTTCTGAAGCGGAGTGTCTCAGTGCAGAAGGCGCTGAAGCAGACAGTAAGTTGTGGCACAAGAGGTTGGGACACTTGAACTATAGAAGCTTAGGGCATCTAAGTTCTAAGAAGCTCGTACATGGCATTTCGAAGATTGTGAAGCCTCAGAAGTCATGTGAGATATGCATGAAAGGCAAGCAACCCAGATTGCCATTTGCGTCAGAAGTAGCCCCCAGAGCAAAGCATGCTCTGGGTGTAGTACATTCTGATGTATGTGGACCATTTCCAGTACTTTCACTTGGAGGAAACAAATATTTCGTGTCTTTTGTGGATGAGTTCACAAGAATGACATGGGTAACACTCATCAAGTTCAAGCATGAAGTGTTTACAGAGTTCCAGAAGTTCAAGGTGAAGGCTGAGAAGCAGAGTGGTCAGAAGCTGAAGATTCTGAGAACAGATGGTGGAGGTGAGTATAACTCTACAGAGTTCCAGAAGTTCTGTGAGGAGAATGGAATAGAACATGAGGTTACTGCTCCATACACTCCTCAGCACAACGCTCTTGCTGAAAGAAGAAATAGAACTTTGCTTGATATGACCAGAAGTATGCTGAAAGAAAAGAAGTTACCTCACATGTTATGGGGAGAAGCTGTTGCCACATCAGCATATGTTTTGAATAGGTGTCCAACGAAGAAGCTAAAGGAAACTGTTCCTTTAGAAAAATGGACTGGAGACAAGCAGAGTGTTAGCCATCTGAAAGTATTTGGTTCTGTGTGCTACAAACACATTCCAGAGGCTAGAAGACGAAAACTGGATGATAGAAGCAAAACAATGTTACTGGTGGGGTACCACAGTACAGGTGCCTACAAGCTTTATTGTCCAGAAACCAACAAAGTCGAAATCAGCAGAGACGTCGTTGTGAAAGAGTCAGAAACATGGGATTGGAACAAGCTTCAATCAGATTCTGGTGTAGTACCAACACTAGGGTTAGTTTCTGAAGACGAGTCAGAGTCAGAAGAAGAAGACTCTGAAGATGAGTCAGAATCTCAGGGAGATTCTGATAGTAGATCTGATTCTGATCCAGATTCTGATGATGATCCAGAATCTGGTGGTGATTTTACTTCTGGAAGGGAAAACTCTGAAGACATAGGGTCTGGAGAACAAATTTCCAGAAGTAACTCTGAAGGTGGTAATTCTGAAGGAAGTAGTTCTGGACAAGGTTCAGAAGCCAGTATTGTTCCGAATTCTGGAGAACCTTCTGAACAAGACCAGAGGCCACAGAGAATCAGACGAATACCAAGTAAGTTTGCAGATTTTAACATGTTGCATGATACTGAAGTAGATTCTGAAGGTGAAATCGTTCAGTGTGCCATGCTAGTAGATTCTGAACTAGTGGGTATTGAAGAAGCACTCAAGAAGAAAGTATGGCTGAATGCCATGAAAGATGAACTTGAGGCAATTGAAAGAAACAAGACTTGGAAGCTGACAGAACTTCCAAAAGGCAAGAAAGCCATCAGCGTCAAATGGGTTTTCAAGCAGAAGCTAAAGCCAGATGGATCAATTGGCAAACATAAAGCAAGACTAGTGGCCAGAGGTTTTCTTCAGAAACCTGGACTAGATTATTTTGAGGTGTTTGCACCTGTAGCTAGACACGAAACAATCAGACTGGTGATTGCTTTAGCTGCAAACAGAAAGTGGCCTTTAATACATCTGGATGTGAAGTCTGCATTTCTGAACGGTCCATTATAGGAAGAAGTTTATGTGTCACAACCTCCTGGATTTGTGAAAAAGAATCAGGAAGGGATGGTATACAGGTTAAGTAAAGCTCTGTATGGACTGAAGCAAGCGCCCAGAGCTTGGAATCTGAAGATTGATTCGTTTTTCAAGGAACAAGGGTTTCAGAAGTGTGAGATGGAGTATGGTGTTTACTTTCAGCATACTTCAGAAGGTAATATGATTCTGGTCTGTTTGTATGTTGATGACATATTACTCACAGGAAGTTCTGAACAAGAAACAGCTGAGTTCAAGAAAGTTCTGATGAAGGCGTTTGAGATGACAGATCTTGGAAAAATGAGTTTCTTTCTAGGGATGGAACTTATATA